AAAAAAAGGAAAACAAGAATATGAAATTATCTTTTTTATTATTTTATTATTTTTCTTATTATTTTTCAATTTAGCTTATTATTTTTCTTACTATTATTTCAGCTTATTATTTTTCAATTTATAAATGTTTTAGAAATTTTAAGTTGTGATTTTTCAATATTCTTTAGGTATAGATATAACTTTCAGGTATAACTTACGGTTTAGGTACAACTTCTGGGACATAACTTGAGAAGTGTTTTGTACCCAAAGCAAAAATTTTAACAAAAAAAAAATAGATTGCATGAGATGAAATACGATATCACTTTGTTTGTTAACTTATTTTATTAAATAAAGTAATCAAAAAACTTGAAATAATTGCTTATTTGGATAATTTTCTTCTCCAATATTATTCTTCTTGCAAAGTTTCAAGTTTAGATAAAAAATGAATTAAAATCTTTTTTTATTTCTAAAAATTTTCGTATTTTATTCATTCGTTTACAAATTCTGTTTAGTATTTTATTGAAAAACGGATGCTAACAAGTTAAATACATGCTTTTTCCCTACTTCATTAATTGATTAACTTGCCTGCTTAATTAATTCGTTTTGTTTGTAATTATTTTATTTTGCTAAAATATATTATTTCAGTCCTTTTCGTAAAATCGATATTATGTTCACATTAATTGTAACAGAACTGTGGAAAAAATAAAATTATCAAATAAATTAAAAACTATCATTTTATCAAAAATCAAAAAATCGAAGTCAAAAAAATCGAAATCGAAAAAAGATTTTATGATTTTTTTTGTTTTTTTTCTTCAATTTCCTCAAATTTAATGAATGAAACATAAATTAGATTAGCATTTTATCTTACACTCATAAAATTCCTTCTAGAAATATATATATATATATATATATTTAATTTGATAGTTGTTACATTAATACTGAAATAATCCTTTTAGTATAATTAGATTTCGCTAAAATTAAATTTTTAAAAACCTTTAATTCCGTCTGAATGTTTGGTGTCGAACTTTTGAAATTATTTCAACATAGTAGCGCAAAAAAACGCAATTATATATATGAGGTACAAATAACATTTTTCTAGGGATTATCAAATAATTATTTATATATATATATAATTTGAAATGAGTATTTATTACATTAATACTAGAATAATCCTTTATGATATAATTAAATTTTGATTTGCAGGGAAATGAATTTGCTCATATTCAAATGTTACCATATCAACAAATTAGCAATTATGATTTTAAAATGCCACAATTTCGTCTAATTGATGGACCATCCGTACGACAGGGACGATTACAAATTCAATTTCAAAATCGTTGGCGATCAGTTTGTACAAAACTTACAAAGTTAGCAACATATTCCACCTTTTTTTCGCTTATATTATTCTTTCTAATAATCTTTTGAATTAGTTATTTCATTTCTAATTCTGATATTATCCGTTTGAATGCGAAATTAATCAAAAAGATTGGTTCATTTGATTACCCTATCCAGTTAGTTCACAAGCTTCTTAAATATTTTCATGGGAAAAGAAATTGATTAGATATACTTTTCCATTTCTGATCTTATCCATTAATTTTTCCAATTCCGATAATATCCATTATTTCTGATATTACGAATTGTGCAAAAGATAATGAAAATAATTTAAGTAATTATACGAAAACATAAATATTTTACAAAACACGGTACCGAAATAATGTAATTCTTTTGTTTCGACGACATTAGTTAAAATAATTTAAATAATTAGTCTTTTTTTTGATAGCTTTTGGAAATTATATTAAATATATCCAACGCATCAAATAATATCAACGATGATTAACTGGAAATAATTATAACGAGAAAAACTGATAATTTGGAATTCTTTTTTAAATAATTTAAAATTCAATTAATGAATAATTAAGCAAATAATATTATTTAAAACATACATAAAATAAAAATATGAATTTCCCTCCTTTTTTTGTTTTTTTTAGTTTTTAATTGAAAATCAATCTTTATCTCATTAAAAATATCTTTTTATCACACACAATTGCAACAAACAATTACTCTAAAATATTTCAACACTTATCAAATGAAAAAAAAAAATTGCAATAGTTATTTCATTGTCATTCATTGTCACCAATCGTTTTTTAAATCGTTTTTTAAAAAATGTTTGCCAAAAAAAAGATTTTTTCAAAAAAATGAAAATTATCATTTTTTGATCTTTTTTTTTCAAATACGATGACATCATATATGAAATTTATTTAGATAAATAACAAAATTTCATATTTTTCAAATTAAATTTCAAAAACTGAAACTTTTGAAGGTAATGAAAAGACAAAAAAGTAATGAATATTATAGCTGGACATCGATAGATATTAGCACAGCATGTCGATCAATGGGTTTCAATGATGGCGGTGATTTTTAAAATTTTTTTTTTATTTTCAAATTTCATCATAAATTCACACACGATAAAGCAAAAAAAAAGAAATGGTCGAAATTCTTTAATGTATTTAACAAATACAATTTATTTGAATAAATTATAAATAATGAAATTTTCAATAATTTTAAAATTTAAACTTCACAAATTGAAATTTATTAAAAAATTAGTAAAATTGAAATAATTTTTTAAATGCATTTACCTTAATTAACCATATTTGAAGGATTCTGGAAATGGTATCGACGAAACAATGATACATATCCATTTGTGATGCCATATCCGAAATGTTCACCAAATGCTTCATCATTATGGGAATGTGAAGGATTAAGAAATCCCAGTATGATACCATTGAGTGAAAACCTTTGTCAAGGTGTAGATGACATAGGAATTCACTGTTGGGGTGTACCGATATTTCTTGGTTGGCAAAAACATTGGAAAGGTAATTAACAATTTTTTTTGCCTCTAATAATTCTGATTAATTAATTAATTATTTCTCCAATTTTTCACTTCGTCACCTTTAACAATAAATGAAAAGTACAAAGGTTATAGCAATTATTTGATATATAATTTTTTAACTTCTTTTGTATTAATCTTTTGTTATTTCAAATTGTAACAAAAAAACTCGAAGAATTCGAAATTGAATACTCACAGAATATTTCAAAAACATACCCAATGATTGGGAACTTTCTTACATTATTACTTCTCATAATTTTTTTGTATTATTATTATTTCTAATTTATTTGTTATCATTATTTATTATTATTATTATTATTATTATTATTATTATTATTATTATTATTATTATTATTACTATTAATATTATTATTATTATTATTATTATT